ATTTTAAGCCTCTCTTAGTTTGGCCAATGTAAATTAAACCGCACTGGCAAGGAATCCTATAAATACCCCAGGAATTCATATCCGGAATGGGGTCCTTGAGTATAGAAGTTGGAATTTTATTGATGGGAGAGTAAACAACCCGAAAGTTAAATTTCTGCAAAATATGTGCAACTTTATAGCTAATTGATGGAAAGAAGGGAATGACAACAGAATTTTTATAATCTCCTAAAATAAGAGTGTGGCTTTTAGTGTGTTGAGATGAGAATTTTTTAACTGCTTGATTAATAATGTTGGGTGAAAAGCCCCTGTCAATAGCTATTGCTTTTAAATAATTTAGTTATTCATCAAGGGCTAGTTTGGAGGAGCAAACTTGAAGAGCACGGAAAACATAGGAATAAAATGAAGCTAACTTTTGTGTAGTCGGATGACATGATTTAAAGTGTGGTGGAAGGCAAACCGATGAAGGTTTACGGTAAACTGTAGTACTGAAGTTGGAGTGTGTACGTGTGACCAGAATGTCGAGAAACGGAAGAGAATTGCAAGTCTCAAGTTCAAAAGTGAACTGAATAGCAGGATCAATAGAATTCATTGTTGAAAGAACTCTATTTAAATGATCTTTATTACCTTCAAACAGGGTAAAAGTATCGTCTACGTAGCGGAACCATGTCGGGAAGTTTAAAGTTTCAAACAATTTTGATTCATATAATATGCATGTAGATATCAGCCAGGATGGGACTGAGGGGGCTTCCCATGGCTAATCCCTCAGTTTGCTTGTAATATTTATTTTGGAAGACAAAATGTGTTTGTTTCAAACAGAGTTGAGTGAGAGAAATTAGCTCATCAATTTCGATGCAAGAGAAATGAAATTCGCGAAGTCTGGTTTCTAGACATCTTAATGCACCCTCCACTGGGACATTGGTGAATAATGATTTTACATCAAAAGAAACCATGAGTAAATTACGAGGAGAAATGTTTTTAACCTTTTTTACAAACTCTATTGAATTTTTTATGGTGTAAATGTTATTGTCTAATAGAGTGGAAAATCTAGAAACTAAATATTTAGCTAATGGATACGAGGCAGTACTTAAATTTGATACAATAGGGCGGAAAGGAATACCACTTTTATGAATTTTGGGAAGAGCATATAATCTGGCACAATTCGCAACAGATGGGATAAGCGAATGTTATAAGTTGCTTGAAATGATTTGCGAAGATTTGATCGCAGTTTTTATTTTGGATAAGTCCGAAGGTGAAGGATCTTTAGGGATCGGATTATATGGTCCTTCGTTTAAGAGTTTAGTGACACCATCGATGTAAGTGTTCTTATCCATGACGACTATCTGGCCACCTTTGTCGGCCTTTGAAATGACAATATCCGGGTTAGAATGAATCTCGCGCATTGTAGCTCTTTCTCTCGCAGTTAGATTTGGTTTCAAAGGTTTATTATTGAATTTCACATTATGAGCGAACTTCTCACAAACCTGTAAACCCTCGATTCCAAAGATTTTGGCTCCTATCGAAAAAGCTTTCAAGTTCAGTAAAGTTTCAGATTCACAGAAAGAAATGATTAGGCATCTTATCGCTCATAATGTGAAATTCAATAATAAACCCTTGAAACCAAATCTAACTGCGAGAGAAAGAGCTACAATGCGCGAGATTCATTCTAACCCGGATATTGTCATTTCAAAGGCCGACAAAGGTGGCCAGATAGTCGTCATGGATAAGAACACTTACATCGATGGTGTCACTAAACTCTTAAACGAAGGACCATATAATCCGATCCCTAAAGATCCTTCACCTTCGGACTTATCCAAAATAAAAACTGCGATCAAATCTTCGCAAATCATTTCAAGCAACTTAAAACATTCGCTTATCCCATCTGTTGCGAATTGTGCCAGATTATATGCTCTTCCCAAAATTCATAAAAGTGGTATTCCTTTCCGCCCTATTGTATCAAATTTAAGTACTGCCTCGTATCCATTAGCTAAATATTTAGTTTCTAGATTTTCCACTCTATTAGACAATAACATTTACACCATAAAAAATTCAATAGAGTTTGTAAAAAAAGGTTAAAAACATTTCTCCTCGTAATTTACTCATGGTTTCTTTTGATGTAAAATCATTATTCACCAATGTCCCAGTGGAGGGTGCATTAAGATGTCTAGAAACCAGACTTCGCGAATTTCATTTCTCTTGCATCGAAATTGATGAGCTAATTTCTCTCACTCAACTCTGTTTGAAACAAACACATTTTGTCTTCCAAAATAAATATTACAAGCAAACTGAGGGATTAGCCATGGGAAGCCCCCTCAGTCCCATCCTGGCTGATATCTACATGCATTATTATGAATCAAAATTGTTTGAAACTTTAAACTTCCCGACATGGTTCCGCTACGTAGACGATACTTTTACCCTGTTTGAAGGTAATAAAGATCATTTAAATAGAGTTCTTTCAACAATGAATTCTATTGATCCTGCTATTCAGTTCACTTTTGAACTTGAGACTTGCAATTCTCTTCCGTTTCTCGACATTCTGGTCACACGTAACACATCCAACTTCAGTACTACAGTTTACCGTAAACCTTCATCGGTTTGCCTTCCACCACACTTTAAATCATGTCATCCGACTACACAAAAAGTTAGCTTCATTTTATTCCTATGTTTTCCGTGCTCTTCAAGTTTGCTCCTCCAAACTAGCCCTTGATGAATAACTAAATTATTTAAAAGCAATAGCTATTGACAGGGGCTTTTCACCCAACATTATTAATCAAGCAGTTAAAAAATTCTCATCTCAACACACTAAAAGCCACACTCTTATTTTAGGAGATTATAAAAATTCTGTTGTCATTCCCTTCTTTCCATCAATTAGCTATAAAGTTGCACATATTTTGCAGAAATTTAACTTTCGGGTTGTTTACTCTCCCATCAATAAAATTCCAACTTCTATACTCAAGGACCCCATTCCGGATATGAATTCCTGGGGTATTTATAGGATTCCTTGCCAGTGCGGTTTAATTTACATTGGTCAAACTAAGAGAGCCTTAAAATTTCGCGTCAAAGAACATGAGGCATATGTTAGAAAAAAGGAAACACAGAAGTCTTCTGTTGCTCAACATTGTTGGTCCGAAAATCACACTTTCAATTTTTCTGCTGCCAAAATTATTCAAGAAACATCTTCCATTGGAGAACTGGATTTTCTAGAGGCATTTCACATTCATAAAAATCTTTCTGTTCTAGTTAACGATCCTAATTCCAATCCAAATTTGCCTTCGGCTTTTAGAGAAATTATGTTTTAGTTCTGGTTTCGCCAACAGATTGCGCCACTTGCTTATTCTTGTCCAGGCTTTCTTATCTTATCTAAACATTATTTCCTATCTTGTTCATTTGCGGTTTTGCAGCTGAAGATGATGGTTCGGTAAAACCATCGAAACTAGTCCTGTGAAAATTTTGTAAATTAACGCTGATTTTTGTTGTTTGACTTCTGAGTTAGTATAATCCATATTTCATAATAGATTTTGTTACTCGTCATTTTTTAAACTGAATCTTCATAAAAATATAAATAATATCCCAATTTTTCTGTGGACCAGCAAAAAGTTATCACGGACCACTGGTTGGCGACCGCTGCTTTAAATAACATTTATTAGCTAAATTTGTGTAATTACTTATTTTATTATTTTTAATTTACTCTCTTTTCATAAACCTATATTCATTAAGATGGCACTTACATCATTAAAGGAAGTGAGAAAGCAAAATATCTTAAATAAGTTAATATATACCAAATGATAATAAATCTCATAACTGGGTAAAGCTTGGTCATATGACTCAGAGGGTTAAACAAAATGCATGTTAAGAGTGACTGGGTTCATGCCTTTCGTTAGAAGTGCTCTGATTAGTGACATGTCACATCAATCAGTGAGGTGTGTCTTTTCATAATGAATTCATAAATTTTACCTTTCATTTCTAATATTTCATCAGGTATATAAGAAAATTTTTTAAATAATTATTTTCACATTCAAGAGCTATTATTCATATAATTCTATATGCTGTACAATAATATAATTCTATTAAAATATTTATATCCACTTAATTTATGCACTGTTCCTAATACCCTTCGCCATGATTGGAAAGTCTTAATTGAAAGGTACATAATACCCTCTGTTATTTGGTTTGAATATCCCTCGCAGAATCAATGTCTTTGGTAGCTAGTGATAGCTTTTCATAGCTATACAAGCCAAGATCCGAAAGCTAAAAGTATAACAAAGATACAGTCCAGATTAAATAGCATATAGAGTTTCCTTTTCATGTTATAAGACTGTAGAGAAAAGAAATTTGTATTAAAAGGATTCATCTATGCAAGGTTGGGAACTGGTTGGTTATGTCTTTTCAAATGCACTAGTGCCATAGAGCCCTTAAAAGGAGAGGGCTTTTGGTGAAACAAAATTCAGTTTTCCTTATTAGCTAGATATAGCATCAGAGACTGTTTGTTTCTGAAAATAGAATACCAATGCTTTCAATCTCTGTTTAATACTGAAGCCAAATTATAAAAAAGATAGGTATTTTTAATTTAAAACACTTTCATTTATGGTGCATGTCTTGAAATCTGTGCATGAATATGCAGTTTTGAAGAGAATAGAGAACAAGGTAAGTTTATAAAAATTTGTTAGTATTTTAGGAATCTGTTTTGTTCTAGCCTGTTATGAAAAAAATTTAAAAAAACTCAAATGGCTGAGAGATAAGATGCTGTATGTTATGTTGGTAGTTGGACCCAGGTGAACTGATTGATTGCATAGTTTCTTTTTGTAGTTTTCCCCATGTGTAAAGTGAATATGTGTGAGCTTCCCTGAAAACGTTCTCTACAGTGACATCCCTTACCTTAGACTTTGTGAGTTTTGCCATATTCAAGTTCAACCTAATCATCTAAAGACAAAGTTTTCTTCCTCTGTATTAATGCTCTTATTGTTTGCATGATAAATGTATTGATTTAGAAATTGAACAGAATATTAGGAAAAAATTATTTTAATTCAAGTTTAAAAAACACATAAACATTCTTTTATATAACACTAAATTACATGATTGATTTTAGCAATATACTCACAATCTGAAGATGTGTATGAGACATGATAATGCATTTTTGATTCAAGTGAAACTATCGATGTTTTGAATTAATTCACAGTGTATTTTACAATCATATTTCTTATCTTGATGACTTACATTTTGCTCGATAATAGAAAAATACCTAGTTCTCGTACAGAAGTCAAAGAAGTATTTGCTGATAATGAAAGAATTAATTTTTGTAAGGTATTTTACATAATGCACTCATGGTGAATAAAATATCAATAAAACTCATTTGCAACTTTGTAATGAATTACGGGATGCAGTTTTAAAGAAATTAGGGTTTGGAGTATTTTTATTTATGCTTTGAAACTCTCTCAGGATTTATTAATTTTGCTTATATTAATTGCTACTAAATATTTTACTTATGAATATGGGGTTTGTATGTCCCCCAAAAGTATTTGCCTCAACTTTCACTTCATCATATGAAGTTCAGGAAGCAATTTAGTTCTCAAATAATTGAAAACTAGATTTGGAATTCACAAATCATCAAGACTTGCAATAACGTAAGTTGTTTTAGGCATTTTATTAGTATAAATTTTGAAATTTCTATTTAAAATGCTAAAGTCTTTTAAGTAATACTTATTAATTTTGTAATATAAAATCTTCTCAGTTAATTCCTTTTTATTTTGTAAGAGCATAGATTGTAGTAAATCTAATTTACAACAAATAGCTCTTAATCTTGAAACAAGATTTGATATCCAATGAAAAAACAAGCTGTAGCGTAATCAGTTTAGAAATTGCCATTCTGTGTAGCTAGGATGTAACAATTATATTTTATAATCTTATTTGTTAAATCTTTATAGATTTTTCTTCTTCGGTTACAAATATTTATATTTGTATGGGCATTTATGTTTCAAAGTTTAATTTTTTAGTATGCAAACTATTTACAATAATGACATAAAATGAAGAGTGAACATGTCTGAATATGCAGAGATAATGCTGCTGGATGGGAGATCTATCAAGCAAGTAAAACGATAATCATTTATATAAGATGCAATGCTGGTACTAAAATAAAAATCATGCCAGACTCATAGCAAAAATCATAGAAACATTCTTGATTTTCATATAATTACTCTGTGAACTTTGATACAATGAATAAATGGAAATTGCATAGTCATATTTTAATTCTTTGTCTGTTATGGAACTTATTTAAAAGCATCTTGTTTTTAAACGTTCTTTAAATATATTCGATTAATATAAAGTCTAGATATATCTCAAGATGATCTGTATCTGTCACTCGAAAAGCAATGCTTTTATATTATAATTGCATTATATTACAAAATTCATATGAATTTCACCAAATAGAAATTTAATTTATTACGAAATAAATTTGTTTGTATATTATTGTATTAATAAAATACGGGTAACTGTAAGGAAAATTGAATTCAAAATTTGAATGAGAGTATCATTTCAAAAAAAGAAATCAATTTTCTGATTTTGCTGTCATCCTCATTTTGCATATTTTGTAAATTTCACCAGAATTTGCATACGTTTTGTTACTTGAATAAAATTGGCAGTAAATTATCTTAACCTTGGACACGTGGAGCATAGAAAAGATGTCCATTTTTTTCTCCGTATAATGCCAAGGAAGAGCGTCCAGCTTCTAAATCAATAACAGGACAGTGAAGACTTTTCGCGGATTCGAAGCTACTTCTATACGTTGTGTCACCAGAAAACTTATCTCCTGTGTCCAAAATATTATGGTTTTCAGGTTTATATATACGTGGCTTTTCAATTCGATCCCGAGGCAACATCGTGAAAGTAGAACGAGTAGTACTCTCTCCTTCAAAAGCACCTTCCCCAACTTTCTGGCTTGTCGAAGGTCTGTACGTCTGCATTCTTTTGCCAGCATTGCGACCCATGTAAGAAGCATGTGATGTTGATGTGAACTCATTATGGTCTCGTGACGATGACTCTGGATTCGATCTGCTGCTGACTGCTGGTTCATGTTCACTTGGCCCTTCAGTACCTAATCTCAAAGAAGACCTGGGCCTCAAATTCTGTGCCCTAAAAGCCCTATTTCCCTTATAAGAAGAAGTTGACGTTGTTGAGAAGTCCATATTCCCTGTTTGTCCCAAACTGCCTTTGAGACCTGCTTTGGACCTAAGAAGAAAAAACAAACTGCTTTATAAACCATTGTATCCAAAATTATAATTTTAAGCAATACTGTTTTCTTTATAAAAATGAATAATGCTGAAATGCATTCTTTAGTTGACTAGTATTAAAGATGATGATAAATTAACCATCTTGCTTGAAATTAAAATTGCTTCTTATAGCTTATACATTAAAAAAATTAACATATAATTTGGGGACTTTTTTGCGTTGGAAATTACAAGCGTCATCTGATCGTATACGATGTTTTCTAAGCATTTTCTAATTCATTAATATGTGATATCTGTTTTTAAAATTTTCATGAAAGTAATTTTAAATTTTAAAAGCAGAACTACGAAAATTATGGGTTTTTTCTTTATACTTTCTAAAGCAAGGTTGAAGTTAAACTTTAGGGGCAGTTTAAAGAATTTTTGCTGTCGACTACAAAATGTTTTTCGATGAAGGAAAAGTTATCAAACAAGGGAACTACTTTACAGATAAGTGTGGAAGACCTATTGTAGATTCAGAACTTGTAAATGTGTTTTACAACCTAATGGAATTCTTTCAGTGCAAAACGCAAGAGCATTTGCACTCTTATCTCAATATGAGTTGAATTTGTGTGATAGAATACTATTTATATATTAATAGAACATAGAACATTATTTCTAAAGCTGTGTTACTCTTTAATTAGATGAGGGGAAGTAGCAGTTTGATGCAAGATCTCAGATATTTGTTACTGGCATTAAGTATCACAGATATTTATGAAACTTTAGGGTTTCAACTGATGAATGGGTTGAATCATTTCGTGGAAAGACTGTTGAATGCCGTTATTCTACATTTCTTTTTATTTTAGTTTATTCATGCGTCGTGAAATCAAACTGAAGTACATAAAACGCAAGTACAACTTAAAAATTAGACAAAATATCTTAAATAATGAATGGCAAAAAATTTAATATATTGAAAATTTTTATTGTCATCAGTTTTTTTATCACACTGGTAGAAAATTTGATGACTAACAATTTTTATAGCTTTTGATTTATTTTTAATTTTTATAGCTTAATATTCGTATAAGCATCTCGTCATTATATAATGACAACTGAAAATTTTACCCGTAACAGGACCTATTATTTAGAAATCCAAATAGCTTGAACATTGAAATTTCAATAGCATTTTCTATAGACTATTAAATAGCACGAAATTTGTTTCCTAGATAAGGGATAGTAAGACTTCCCGACAGCATAATTTCCTTTCAAATATTTCCCGTGTGATAAAGATCTGATGCCCCATAATAAAATGCTTTAAGGAATTGATCTGTAAGGTGTTAAAAGTAAAATCTCAGAATTAAGTGGACTTACTGTGCTTTTGTTGCTTCTCTGTTTCTATTATATTCAGAGATTAAAGAATAATCTTCTGATGTTCTGTTGAATTCCATTTTCCCTTCCTGTTTTAATGTTTCGCTTCGTTTCTTTGCAGAAGCCCGTCTGGCTTCCCATCTTTTGTATTCTGCTCGAGTAGTTGACGTACCATCAAAAGGAACAGGCTCCAGCTTTAAGTTATCGTCTGGTCTGAAACGTTTAATTGGTCTGGCAGTGGGTACGTTTTGATAAGATTGATGAGTGGCAGTTGATCCCTTGTTTTCTTGAATGTCATTTGAATCGCGTATTCCATTCTGAATTATATTTGTAGCTTCTCTTTGTCTTGATATGCCAGAATCAGCAACTTCTTTACCTTGTACCTTTTGAGATTTGCTGTTTTGTGCAACTGTTAGATCAGAATTCTCCAATTCTGATGGCTTGAGCTGTCCTTTAGGTACAGCTGTTTTTTTATTATTGTCGCTTTTAACATTTCTGGTTTTTTCTTCTTGGTTTAATTTAGTAGCGGTAACAACTGATTTTGATTTAGGAGCTTCTATTGGTCCGTAATCTGCCATAGAAACTGATATGTCATGTGAGTAGTTCTCGCTATTTCCAGAGTTTGTTAATGCCCTGTACATTGACTCCGCTGGAACGTGGTTATTGACATATCTCTCTCTCTCTTTAACATCTGTGTCTTCTTTTTGTATAATTGTGTCTTGCGTTTTAACTTCATTACCTACAGCATCGTCTTTAATAACTTTACCTGTGCTAACAGTTGTTGATAAATCATTTGTACCATTAGTATCATTAATTATTTCTTTATCTCTGCTAAGTTTCCATGGCTCGTACAGCTCTTCGTTTGATTTATTTCCTTTACTTTGTATTTTATCTTGAACGCCCTGCTTTCTGCTTATTCTTTTGTTATCACTTCGAATTCCTGCTGCAGGGATTTGTTTTGCCTTCATATCTTTTGACTGATTTTCCATTTTTACCCATTGCCTGAATTCCTTACTATTTGTCGTTTCACCATAAAACTTACCAGGCTCTAAATGTAAGTTGTTTTCGTGGCGGATTGGTTTTACCCTTTGTGGTTTCCCGTGCGTCTGAAATGCGATTTGGTTAGTAGTTGTTGCATCAAATTCACCTTCAAGTTTTGTGGTTGTCTTTGGTCGTATTTGTTGAATTTTATCAAAATTCCTCTCTTTAAATTCAGAATGGTTGGTTGTTTCGAAATTCATATCACCTTCTTGCTTTAGAGAAGACGCTAGCTGATATGCTTTCGGCTTTTCTACTTGCCACTGCCTGTATTCATCTCTTGCCGTAGTTCTGTTCTGAAACTCTCCTTCATTTACATGGAGATTGTTACTTGGCCTTATTTCATGAACTACATCAATTGGTGGAGCCTGAAACATGTCTTGGTTTGTAGTCGTGGCCTGAAATGTATCATCTGAAATTTTTGTTAATGTTTTTGGTCGCATCTGAGTAGTCTTGTTAATAGGTTTTTCGTTATATTGTGCTTGATTCGATGTTGTGAAATCAAACTCTCCTTCCTGCGAGAGACTGGGTTTAGGTCTGATTGACTCAGCTTTACTACCCATTTTATAACCATAAGCCTTAGAAGTAGTTGTTTCACTGTGAAAGATGCCATCTTCCACTCTCAAATTATCTTTGGGTCTAATATCATGAACTTTCTCTATTGGCGGTGCTTGATACATCATTTGATTGGTTGTTGTTCCCTCAAAATCTCCTGTTATGGGAGATGAAGTATGAGGCCTTATTGGTTCAGTTTTTGTAATTTGCTTTTCTTCAAACTGCGTCTGATTAGATGTAGTGAAGTCCATCGTTCCCTCTTGGGTAAGATTACCTGATGGTCGAATGGCTTCGGGTCTGTCAATCTCCCATTGTTGGAATTCTCTTCGGGCTGTTGTTTGGTTTTCAAATTTGCCTTTCTCAAGATGGATATTTGTAGAGGGTCTTTTTCCTCTGACTACTTCCACTCCATTGTTATTTTGAAAAGCTGCTTGACTTGTTGTCGTGCCTTCGAAATCCCCAGTGAGTTTTGTAGTAGTTGTGGGTCTTATTTGAGACACTCGCTCTGCAGTTTTTCCTTCGAATTGAGTACTGTTAGTTGTAGTGAAATCAATATCCCCTTCTTGCTGTATGCTGTTGTTTGGTCTAATTGGAGAAGGTTTAGAATAATCCCAAGCTTGAAAATCTCTCTTACTTGTTGTTTCATCAAGAAAATTAGCGTGGTCTAGCTTTATATTTGTTTGAGGTCTCGTAGAAATGGATTTTTCACCTGGTACGTTTTGATACATAACTTGATTAGTAGTCGTAGCATCAAACTCTCCAGTTATTTTAGGATTTGTTTTAGGTCTAATCTGAGAAACCCGATCGGTAGTTTTAGCTCCGTATTGCGTTTGATTTGTGGTAGTAAAATCAATTTTTCCCTCTTGTTGCAAATTATTTTTCGGTTTAATTGCTTTAGGCTTAGACAATTGCCACTGCTGATATTCAGAGAGATTAGTTGTATCAGCCATGAATTTTCCTTTACGTAACTCTAAATTGGATTTCGGCTTTGTGATCTGTAGTTTTTGCATTGGTTGTGCAGGGTACATTACTTGATTAGTTGTGGTGTCATCAAAATCACCTGTGATTTTTGATGAAGTGCGAGGTCTAAACTGGGAAACTTTCTCTGCCTGCTTTTCTTCAAACTGTAATTGATTCATGGTAGTAAAATCCATTGAACCCTCTTGCTTCAGATTGGAAACGGGTCTTACTGGTTTAGGTCTGTCGATTTCCCATTCTTGGAACTGTGACTTGTTAGTTGTCTCTGAATTAAATTCTCCGGAACTAACTCTCAAATTTGATTGTGGCACAATTTTCTGTACTCTTTCTATTGGAAACTCTGAATGCATGACTCTGTTGGTAGTTGTCAAATCTATATCACCAGAAATCCTGTTGGTTGTACTAGGCCGAATGGGATAAACTTTATCTGGTCTTTTTTCTTCAAATTCAGTATGGTTTGTAGTCGTAAAATCCATTGTACCTTCCTGAGTGAGAGAGGGTTTCGGAACAACTGGCGAAGGTCGTTTAATTGGCCACTGCTGAAATTCTCGTGCGGTTGTTGTTTCGTCTATAAACTGCCCACTTTCTACGTGGAGATTGCTTTTCGGTCGTATGGGATTGACTCTCTCTCCCTGATCATGTGAAAACATTATTTGATTCATAGTTGTTGCATCGAAATTTCCTTCAGGGAGTTTAGTAGTAGTTTTTGGCCGAATTCCTTTTACTCTTTCCATAGATTTTTCTACAAATTCACTTCTGTTTGTTGTATTGAATTCCATGCCGCCCTCTTGTCTCAGATTGCTTTGGGGCCGTATTGGCTTCGGTCGTATTTGATCCCAAGTAAGGTATTGCTCATCATCATGTGCTCTTGCATCAGCCTGGTCGGAATACGACGGATCTTGTTGAGCTGCGACTGAAACTGGACTTTCAATAAATTCAGAAGTTATTTTTTCTCTGCCATTCGTCTGCAAATTATCATCTTTGTGCGTTCGTGCAGCATCAGCGGTCTGAATATCTTCACGCTTTGTGGCGTCTTCAGGCTTTCCTTTAACGTAAGTAATATCATTAACTGATGCCGTAGCTTGGTCTTCACCTGAGTGAAATGATTCTTTTTCCGTTCCTTCCGTTAAAGTTTCTAAATTTGAGTTCATATTTCTTATTCTATGTTTCGAAGAGTAGTCTGTATCCCGAGCAGCGATTAAGCCGTTGGTACTTTCGCCTTTTCCATTATATGTTGACTTTTCTACCAAACTGTCTACTATATAACCATTAACTGCCTTTTCTTTTATAGCATCTGATCGGGAAAGATATCTATCAATATCCGAAGTGTTCGTTTCTAATTCTGAAGAATCTCCCAGTTTGAGAGTATCGACTGGTTTATATCTTTGTGGTTTCTCCACTTTCCATCTTTTGAAATCTGTTACAGCTGTAGTTTCATCTGATAGGGGAGCGGCAGGAATGGTAATTTCGCTTGGAGGTCGCCCAACTTTTGGTCTAAGGGTAGAGAAATCCTTTCCACTTTCTGAGTTAATATTGCTTAATAATGCAGCATTGTAATCTGATGAAGTTGTTTCAAAACTTATTTCTCCTTCCGGTTTCAGATGGCTTAATGGACGTTCAATTTTCGATCTGAGGGCGGAGAAATCATTACCACTTTCTGAGTTTTCACTAGCTCGATTGCTTTTTAATGCAGCATTGTAATCTGATGATGTAGTCTCAAAACTTATTTCTCCTTCCGGTTTTAGGTGGCTTGCTGGACGCCCTATTTTTGGTCTGAGAGCAGAGAAATCATTGCCGCTTTCCTTGTTTACACTTGCCCGATTGGCTATTAATGCAGCATTATAATCCGACGAAGTCGTTTCAAAATTTATTTCTCCTTCCGGTTTCAGATGGCTAACTGATGTTCCTTTCTTGATTTTGATTTCATTTTCTACTCGTTTTGGCGTAAATGCTGTATGGTAAGAGCTGTCTGCTTCAAATGGTCCACTTAACTTTAGAGATGTACGTGGTCTTTGAAATTTTGTGTGAGGTGTTATACCTTGGGTTATTTCGTTTGCTTCTTTGCTTTGGGCCTTAGTTTCGTTACTTTCTACTTGCGATGTTTCAGAAAATGTTAATGTATCTGGTTTCCTGATCATCTGAGTCTTTGGAATTTGTTTTTTATTCCAAGACTTTTCTTGTGTTTCTAAAGCAGTATCGACGTGCCCAGATTCCATCGAACGTAACTCTGAAGACTTTTGTACAAAATCTTGTTTATGGATGGTTGTAAAATCTGCACCACCATCAAGTTTAAGATTATCTGGTCTTTTAATGGGCAGTGTTTTGGGAATTTGTTTCGATGACCAGGTCTTTCCATCGCTGACAGAACCTGATAACCTACTATTTCCTTTGTCTCTTACTGTTACTGCTGTGGCAATATTAGATGAGTCTGTAATAACTTGTTCAGTATTTTGATCAGTTGCTGGAGCTATGTCTTTCGATTTGACATTAGAACGATCCCACTTCTTCCGCTCCTTTTTGTTGATCTCTGGAAGTGAAAAATTCATACATTTACTGCCATTAGTCTTACATCGATCGCATCACATGAATATTCTTACTCATCCCTTTTTTATACATCGTGTCCACAAAATTCCTTTACCTGGCTTTTATTTTTGAAACCGTTGGTTATAAACTATACTTCCAGTTACAAAAATGTTTTAAATGACACAAATGTTATGGCATTTCTAAGTTAAAAAAATCAGTTTTGTAAAAGTTACGAGATTTAACTTTTTATACGTTACTCCAGTTTTTATACTTATATTTAGGAAAATGCTGTACTCATTATATATAAAAAATATACTAAAAGTGCGATTTCTGTACGGCCAAAAACTGGTGGATACGTTTTTGTTTTAAAGTTCGACACTATATTTATGAACCGTAAACAAATGGAAGGATTTGCACTTGTAATTAACAAGCAATGTCATATTAGTTTAGAACAATATTTCTGATTTGAAGTGATTAAGTGACGAGCTTTTTTTTGGGGGGGGAGGGGAGAAGATTTTGTTCACAGAACTCTTGTTCTAGAAAACACAGGTGGGCTTCAGTATTATCATACTGCAAACTCGTAGCATTATTTGTATACACTTAAAATGAAAATATTTTTAGCTTAATAAACTTTTTGTACGACTTTTTGATTAAGCTGTTAAACTAATGGCCTTCATGACAACATTAATAACGTGTTTTATATTTATTTATAAATTACATATGTGACAATCAGTCGGGCATACCAAATTTAAAAACATTAATAAGTCACAAAACAATGTCCTTGAATGGTATTTAAGGAAAGAAAATCAACCTCGAATTATTCTAATTTATTTATTAAATGACCCCTCAAGGCAATTTGGTTAGGTTAGGCTACTTGGCTATCTGCTTGAAAGGAGAGATGCCATCGCGGAGGATTTTCTGAGGGAAAGTTACTCGTGTTTACATTGCACAAGGCATGAAAATGATATCAAAAATCACAAATTTTGAAATTAAATATTTCGTACAAATTTATTGTGCGGAGTCAAATGTTTTGTATTGCGCTTTTTATAATGAGTATACAATTGTTCTAAACATAAGTATAGCGGATCGGGAACGGTATGAAAATTGTTTCGTATTTTATATAAAATTAATTTTTTTTTATTTAAAAAATATGAAAACATGAATACTTGCCTCATATAAAACATTTTTATAATTTAAAACATATTTTTATGATAAACTGTTGTGAAAATAAACAGCCTGATAACGACTTTTGCGGACACTGAATATAAAGGTTTACCGGAAAGTTCTGTCTGATAATGTTATTTCAAATTTCTCAACACGCATGCACGTGTTCATTTGAGACATATATGGCTGTCTCTCTTTTATCATAGCATTTATACGCATATGCCATATCATAGCATTTATACGCATCTAAATTAACTGAAGCAAAAGTGTATCGTTTCATTATTAAGTGAGATACGGTCGTGTAAACATGGCTACACCTAAATTTAATTTACGATACTGAAGTGCGGTTGGAAATTGATGAAAAGCTTAACCCAACTCTACAAACCATTTCGGACTAGATTCTTTATCTAGGATTGATCTAATAAATATTCCAGATGGCTGGCTGAATGATCGTGCACATCTGCGCTTGCTTGGAGCGAAAACGAACCCTACTTTTAGCCGGATGATAACAGGTGATCAGAAGTGGATTATCCACGAAAACATCATTAGGGAAAGAGGATACTATGAGTCCGGACAACATAGAGCCTTCACTGCTAAGCCGAGCTTGAGAACTGTGTATAAGTAAAAGAACCAATGCATTATACGAGCTTTTGAAACCTAGCGAAAAGCTTAATTCGGAGAGATACTGTCAGCAAATGGATGATTTAAACAAAGCTATCATAGAAAAGAGGCAGGCGATAATCAATAAGAAGTACATCGTACTGCATCATGATAATGCAGACCACATGCTGCTGTGACGACTTACTAGCAGAATTAGACTGGGAAATTCTGCCGAATGTACCATACTCGCCAGACTTATCACCCTCCGATTATCACTTATTTCTCTTCTTGCAAGATTTTTTGAAGAGGGGGAAATTCAACACTGAAGCAGATTTCAGCCAAGCGCTACTTGAATTTTTCTACTCTAAGAACAAGATATTTTTCACAAATTGTATTTACAAATTACGCTGACAAGAGGTCATAAATAAAAACGCAAATTATTTTGTACAGTAAATATTAATAAAAATATGGAAAATGTAATATTCTCTCACTTGTCAAACGGACAGAATTTTCGGGTAGACCTTCATTTATATGCTTATATGGAGATGTGATAGTTTAACAGGATAAAATTCAAAATTGGGTATTGTTAAATGAGTTTAATCTTTAACTTCTACAAAAGTCTGGTATTTATATTCTTCTACGATTGTCATGAAACATCACTGTAAAAGACTTATATAAATAATACGTGAATCATCCTTGGAAATGGAGTTTCATTCTGCTACTAGCATGCAGGATCACTTAGAATGTTGCCCTAGTTGTTTAGTTAAATAATATTTGCTATTTTTGAAACATTCTTTTAATATATAATTAGGCACTTTCTTATTAAAGCAGCCACTTCGATCCGTCGCTAAAATCTGAAAATTAGTCGCCAAACTTAATCGGCGAATTTTTAACGTGCAACGAATTAAATTTTATGATTGTTTCGATTTAAAGTTGTTCACATCATATCATCGATTCAATACTTTTATTTCTCTAAAAAGTTTACCATTTTAAATTTGTAATCAGTTGGAAGAGAAACAGCAATTTTTTCTAATATTTATACGAACTATTTAAGTGTCGCTCTCACTTTTGACCACGTGATATTGTTTCTTCCTCACTTTTTCCCCTCGAAAATGTTAATCATTTTTAACTTTCCGTGAAGTGGAGAATAAGCAATAGTTTCTTCACGATATTATTCATTCTTTCATACTTTTGATTATTTTTTACTCTCTGAAATGCTAGCAGTATTTAAATAAGCATAAACTGAAAAAGAATCAGTGGTTTTAGTGTAAAATGGCAATTCGTCCAGATGGGCTATTAATTTCGTTTCGGCATTTTGCGTTGGTTCACTATAAACGGCGCTTCACTTTTCAGATTGTTGCCACCAAATATTAGAGCTCTGCATTATATTTAAATAAATCAAATAATGAAAAATCTACATAAATGTATGTATGTTTCTCGCACTAAGAAAAAACAACGGTACCTAGAAACATCAAATTATGCATAACGTAGTCCTCCAATCGAATATGGGCATCTGGATGTCCTAATTTGGATTTCATATTTTGTAACACTAACGAATTTTTGATTAAAAAATTCAACGGTTTCAAAGCGAACAATGGCAAAACTGTACAGAGAAAAAAATATTTTTATCACCAGCGCGCGAGACTGTGTATTGGAAATTCTAAAGATATGCTCAGTTTAAAATTATTCTGCGATATTGCTGTTGAACTGAGTTTTATGGTTTAAGTGCGAAGATATTTAATAAGTAAGGGTAACACATAAAACGTCTCTTTGAGCGTAATATAAAATCTGAAAAAGCTTTCAGAATCTTTTTTTTTTTTTTTTTTTTTTTTTTTTTCCCTCGTTCCTATTAAGAGCGTGAAATTTTGCATACAGAGTGAAAGCGCAAAAATGGCCAACAATTCATGGTGAGGTAAAGCATATGGAGATGCAAATGAAAACTTCAGGGAGGGGGAGGGGGTATTCTTCGTTCTGATAACTTTTTTCATGGTTCCAGAATTTCTTGCTGTTGGGCTGAAGAATTAACGCTATTAGATGGTGCAACAGACAGTTAAGTATGGGTGAAAATCAGCAAGTAACCACTATTTCATTCCATAATGGCAACAGTTGCCGAGTTACAACTTCCACCAAGATCAATAAATACTTTTATTTTTCTTTCCTTCTCACATTGCAGCTTTTCATTTGTTGAAAGCTATTTTAATTGTTTCTAGTTTTTGCTAAATTCATTTCAAATTTCGCGAAAACGCTTCAAGTGGCTGGTTTTGCGATGAAGTGCCTATTATTACTTTCAAGATATCTAGCTTATTTTCCTTACAGAGTTAACAAATTTAAATGTTTGTAAAGCATCTCAATAAATTTATGCATTATTTAATATTCCTAAAGTCTGATTTACTGTTTCCTAGTGAATAAAAGAAATCTTGCATTATAACTGGCAACATATTTATTCGATTTTTACAAAGTGTTTTATGTGCAAGAAAGGTCATGAGAAAATTTCTGGCAATGGTAATATGGATTTACTGCGCATATCTATTTTACCTTAGTGATTTAAACAACCGTTGCGAGATTTCAAATTTTGCATTAGATACATTTGAAACTAAACATTTAAATGAAGCTTGTGGCCATTTCCCAGAAAGTCATCGACATTTTCCCCAATCACTATATTTCAATACTATTAAATTCTAACATCTAAATGTTTATGACTACACTTTACAATACAAGTATCCATTCGATTCATTCCCACATTATACCCAAGGTCAGAAGCGAGACAAGGTTAGGTTCTTCCCAACACTCGAGTTCAGTGACTTCACTTTATAAGATATTTCTCCCGTCTTCTTAGCATTCCTTCGTAGTGTGGTGGTCAGCACGCTCGGCGCGTTTTCGAGAGGCCCGTGGTTCGAGTCCTGGCGAAGGTGTTGCTCATTTTTCACATTACCTGTTTCCAAAAAATCCTAAAGTCTCTATAACTTCGTTTACAGAAGTAGGAGAAGCATAGGCACAGCTCTAGAACAGACAATGAACCAGTGACGTCACACAAAGCCAGTGACGTGAAAGCTTACTGGTCGAGAAGAGCAAACTTTGTAATACCTTGGTTACACTTATCACATGATTTATCTTGGAAATTACACGTGTGGCATCGTCTACATTATTGCTTACGGTAATTTTTCTTTGTTAAAATGTGTTCTTTATTTCTTTTCCATTACTAAATTTTCCATACTTCTATGTGATTTTCTTTTTGTGTGTCTTCTAGAAATATTGTGTTCTTTCTTTTCTTTAATTTTTTTCTTTATTTATTTACTTTGCCTTCCCTTCAAATGAAAGAACTATAATTGCATCATTTACTGGAAATCAGAATTTCACAGTAATCCCAATAGATATCAAATCTTTTATATTACGAGATCTGTCTTTACCATTATTCTCTGGAAAACTAGTTTTCCTTCCACTATGAATATAATTGTTTGAAGAATAAAACTACTTTGAAATAAATGTAAATGAATGTATAGAACAGAATTAAATGTAAAAAGCTTATTAAAGCAACAAAAATCATATCTTTTTGCCATAAATATTTTTTACCACTATTTATAGCAATACTCACCTCCACCTGCTGTTAAATCTGCCGATTTTATACTTTCTTCCTCTCCCAGCACCAAATGGGACGTGTCCACTCGATGAGGGCACATATGCCGCCTGTGGAAGAAAAAAGTGATTAGTTCCTAATCTAGGTAAAGGAAAATGGTCAGTTTTCAATAAGAAATTTATCTCACTGAAATTTAATCTAGTTATTTCAATTCTTTTTGACGATCTTAAGTAAAGAAAAATAGTTAAGAATACTTTTTTTTACCATTGTTAAGTAATGCTATAATTGTAATAGTGGTATTGTTGAGTAACGTAATTCAATTGCAATGCAACTGAAAAACGGAAGACTAGAGTTCTCGTAAAAGTTTTTCATTTCTATAGAACTCACGTGAAATAACTTCCTCTTTGATTTCAGAGTCAGCACTGTAACTTCAAAATGTTGCCCTGCTCAATGTAGTTATTAGCCGTGACGACTGTTATATTGTCGGTCCCAATTTCGAATCCTGATAAAGGCGTGGGTATTTGTAAATGCATAGCGCCATAAGGTATTTTCTCCCTCCTTTCCGCATGTCTTCGTTGTGTAACTGGAAGCACACTGGACACGTATTCAAGAGGTCCAGGGTTCCAATCCGGCGACTGTATTGCTCATTTTTCACGTCTCCTGTTTCAAAAATCCTAATGGCTGTGCAGTGGCGTCCGAACTAAAAGGTGGTGGACAATAATTCGTCACCAGAAAGTTTGGCAATTGGGTTCTGTCATCTCCAGTCGTCCTTTAAAAGGGGCAAGTAGATAAGGCATTTTCTCTCTTCTTTCCGCATGCCTTCGTTGTGTAACTGGAAGCACACACAACATGTATTCGAGAGGTCCAGATGTCGAGTCTGGGCGACGGTATTGCACATTTTTCACGCCTCCTCGCCCTTTCGAAGGGGCAGTACATAAAGTATTTTTTCCTTCCTTTCCGCATACCTTCGTGGTGTAACTGGAAACACACTCGGCGCGTATTTAGAGGTGCAGGGTTCGACTCCCGGTGAGAGCACTGAACGTTTTCCCGTCTCCTGCTTGAAAAGCCCTAATGACTCTGGTGTCGTTACGACATAACGGTACTTAAAATACCGTCGAGGCGAAATTTCTTTCGGCAGTTTGATGCTAGGATAAAAGGGAATAAGAAACCTTCTAATCCATCCCCCACCATCAAAACTGGAACGAAAGTTGCCTACTTGTAGTGTCAGCTGTAAGATGCCCAAAGCTTGAGCGAAAGACAGACGAAAACCTTTCTTCCTCGGCCGCGATGAATTCGTGGAATGGGTTCCACTTCAATAGGATTTTTCACATCAATTTAGCGCAAAAATGAATCGTATGTTTCTAAATGAATGCAAAAGTAAAATAAATGAAAAATATTGAGTAATATTATTTATTCATCAATTCGGTAGTAAAATCTTCTAGAGTTAGTCCCATTTATTAGCTCACAGCTCGGCTGAGTTAAACACATGTAGTCTAACTGATTGCTCACAACATTTTACTCAATAAATACCTGTGATGAAAAGAAACGAAAATACGGTATCTTTCTAGAATGGTCACTAATGGTTCCAGATAAATTCTCTCTCTGTAAGAGATGGTAGTCTTACAGAAGATATGTTTTCAGAACCAATGTTTAATTATGTTCTTAGAAACTGTGTTCTCAATTAATAATGTTACCAGTTATTTTCACAAGCGCTCTTTTAGACAGGCAGTCGCTTGACAGGATTCGCTGTATCTTAATTAGAAAATCTTACCATTGTCATCAACATTTACAGCACCTTAATCTTAAAATTGAACACATATTTCATTATATATTTCTCTTTTTAGCCCAAAGAGGCAATTTGTCCAGAAAGACTATTAATTTCGTTTTGGAATTTTGAATCGTCCGTTATAAAACGGTGTTTCACTTTTCAAATTGTAGTTTTTAAACATTCAAATATTAGAAACCTGCATTATATTTAACGAAATTAAATAATGAAGAATCTGCATGAATGTATGTATATTTCTCGCCTTTTGAAAAAACAACGATACCTAGAGACATCAAATTTAGATTAACGTGGTCCTTCACCCGAACATGGGCACACGGAAGCCTAAATTTGGAATATGGAACTTGTTTTATTATCTATTTCATATTTTGCAAAACTTTAAGAATTTTTTATTAAAAACACTCAACGATTTGAAAGAAGCAACGGCAATAGTGTACGGGGGGGGAAATATCTTTAGGGCGCGAGACTGTGCATCGAAAATTCTAAAGATATGTTCATTTTAAATATTTTGTAATATTGCTCTTGAATTGACTTTGATGGTTTAAGTGCGAAGAGCATGTTATTTAATAAATAAAAGTAATACACAAAACGTTAAAAAAGGCCCCTTTGGGGAGTAATGTTAAATATGAGAGCTTCAAATTGTTTACTTTTTTTAAACCAGAATAATTAAGATACCTTTTAATAGCTTAGTTATTTTATAATATTAAATTTCTCATTAATTCATAAATGGTGCAAAAAATTATAGCTAAAAGTATATTATTTCATATAATAAAATTTTCTGGCAGTGGTATTACTTCTCTCTTTGGTTAAATATTTACTCTCCCCCCTTTTTATTTTCCTTGGTAAGTCCTACTGAAATTTATGTAAATGAGTAACAAGGAAGAAAATTTTAATGCTCACTTTGAATACCCAGTTTGTTTATCTAGCTTGCCATGTTTTAAAGCATCATCGAATTTTACTTTCGCAACTCTCAACTTTTGGACCGATTCCAGGCTTTTAAGGGCAGTAAGAGAACTAAGCGCAAGAAAATATTTTTACTTTCCTTTTTCTTATTTGTTCTTAAGTATTTGGTTTTGTGAGGTTAGGCTATTTAAATTACCCAAATCCACGAGGGCCGTGACAGAGCCTAAATTTTCAGCTACTTATCAAAATATTTCAGTTAGAACTGTCAAATCCATTATCGTTTACAATGCTTTTTCCTCGATTATTTCGGTTAATGCCGGGGAAGCAGGACGCGGATAATCCAAACTATACATTTTTTTATTCATTTTGTGTGTGTTTATTTCTTAAAATATAATCAGTAATTTTAGTTTATTTTTAAGAATATTTAAATATTTGTCGAATTTCACTGAGTGTTTTTTGAAATGATATTTTATCACTGTATTCGAATCGTTTTTGGTCGACGAAGTCCAAAGAGTTTCAACAGAAGTCACTGCTGTCTCGGAATTAATGTGAGGATTTTCGCTTGTTGTTGACTAATGCTCACTAGTCTGACTTATAGTCAGCCCAAGCCCACGAAATTCCTCGTGTCGACGAGCGCAAGATTACTCTTGCCGTTGGCAACAGCCTTGAGCACCTTGCAGGTGACAGTGCGACTTTGCTCAGTTCCATACCCAAATTTTGATGGTAAGTAAGCCGCGGGTAACCCACCCCTTTGCCTACTCCCAACCACTCGAGAGGACTTTCGGCTCGCCGCATATTTATAGTGCCCTCATGCAGCACAGACACTATGCATTTACAATCATCCGTGCCTTCTCCGTGAGTTCCGCTCCCAATTTTGATGGAGAGCAAACCGGGGGAGAGACGGGTCCGAGGGTCTCACACCCTTCTTCCTCTACCACCAACGTCTCGAGAGGACTTTTGGCAAAGCTGCATATTTTAAGTGCCCCCATGCCGCACAGAGAGTGAACATTTACAAACATCCATGCCTTCTCCGGGATTCGAAGCCGGGGCCTTCGGAACGGCAGTCAGCCGACGCTAACCAGTATACCGGTTGATTTTTCAGTATTGTTCTCTGCCTCTCAACTTTCTTGCGCTTAATTACTTCTATCGTGCTATTTATTAATTTTTTTACCTCTACAATTTTTAAATCAAAGATTAAAAGAATAATAAGAAAATATGAATTGAAATACGTACGAAAGAAAAAAAAAAATTAGTGATCAACTGAAACGACGCCTCTAACTATACACATGCAGAACGGATTGCACGAGTCAATCCTAAGCTAAACCTAAAGATGCAATTCAGCGGTTTTTACAGCATACTTGGACTTAACGCTTGTTTATTTTTTACACCATTTCGCGCACCGCGTTGGGTGTGCGTATGTGGGCACCACCACGTACGAATAATCGATAGTACACTATACTTAGGTATCCTCTCAAAATTTAATTTAAATTAAAGATATCTTCCATTTGGATAACATATGTACATAACATAAAATTTTAGTAACTTTTAGAATTCCTTCAAACTTATTTTAGAATTAAAATTCTACTGCTAATAAAATACTACTTAGAGTAATAAGCATCATTTCCTATTTGTTTTCCAGCCTATGTTAAAATAAAAAGGTGTTTATGTCATGAAGTTTTTGCTTGCTGGGATTTAATGCAAAATTAGTAAGAAATGCCTTTGTCAACCATTTGTCTGAACATCTCGAGAACGAAAGCTTGCGTATCATTCTATTTTCTATCTTCATCGATGTAAGCGACTGAAGACGGCAACGCTGCTTGCATTGATTTGCACTTCCTTGTAACTAAGTAAAGGAAGTATTGTAATAGCGAACATTTTCGGGTATCATATTTCAGCGAAAATATCCGTTTTGACCGATATCGAATGCAATTTAATGACGCTTTTCCATGACATCTGTACGTAAGGACAGAATAATTGACTTTTTTCCCTAAACGGGTTGCAGAAAGGATTTAAAATGTATTCAGAAGGAACTTTTCATAACGTCTTTTGTACGAATGCGTGTATGTATGCATATATCTCTCATAACTCAAAAACAAGTAGCATCAGGAGTTGAAATTTTGTATATAGAACTGCTATAGTATGCAGTTGTGCATCTCCCTTTTTGGTTGTGATCTGCCGCACCAAAAGTATGTTATCGTTTGTTCTCTTTTCTTTAATTATATATAGTATATGTAATAGATTCTGTAGTAGAACGTAGGTGGTTGTATCCAAAATGAATTTTGATATCGTAGAATGCTGAAACGCCGATCCACAAGGAATAAGAAATTTGGCAGTCAAGGTATATTTAATTTAACTTTTATTTCAGTAATATAATGTGGCCACAATCAAGTTGGCACATTAATTGTGTCTATTTAAAAAAGTTTA